CGATGGATAACTTTATTAACGACTCTTTTGATCGCGATTATTTACACTTTATAAAACTTATTAAGCTTTATAATTGTATGTTGATTATTAAGAATAAATATCACACGTAATTAATCGTTGCTAAAAACTTGTCTATTCTAAAAAATTTTAGTAAATTTTTTATTATACGTATACTTTGGACATTTTCGTGTAATTCCATGTAATAAATTATTTTGTATTGCATTTCAAATTATATTGTGTATTAAATTTCTGATTATATTTTGTATATTGTTATATATTTTGTATATTAAATTTATTATATCATTTATTGTGTATTAAAACAAAAATAAAAATAAAAAGACCTACCCTGAGAAATGAAAAAGAGGAAAAAGTCCTCACACATTTTTCCTCCTCGATGGTATCTCCACCTTAACGAAGGCATTTTCCGGGTGAGGAGGTTTGAGTGCTCTAATGAACCTGAGAACTATGCCGGCGGTAATAGTGTTTTCGAGTGAAGCAAGTTTGATCGTTCTGAGACTGATTAATGACGTCATACACTTCATCTTGGGTTATTAGGGGTACTTGAATTATTATATAGATTAATCAATGGAATATTTTGAGTAATCGTTTGATTGATCAATCAGGACAAAGAATTTTGTACTTTAAAGACAAAATAACGTTGAAAACGGGGAATGTATTTTATATTATTTATATTAATTAGATTCTCTCAAAATCTATTTTTGGTCAAACATATATTCATGGTAAATTGGGTTTAATCGCTCTCAAAGCGATCAAACTTAGTTCATTCGAAAATGTTAATAGTTAGCGGTAGGGTCACTCATGCCGGACAGGTCGAAGGGGAGGAGTCAGACTAAGAGAGATACCGTAATTATATTATATATTTATTATATTAATATTTTTGAATAAAATAGAAGCAAAAGAAATTTTATGCATCCATTATCTTAAAATAGGTAAGGTAAGATTTTCTGTAATTAATCTTCCATATATTTTATTAAAATATTGTACAATAATTACTTTTTCAGAATACTATTCTAGAATTGATAAAAATTAGAGACATATAATATAACATCACAAAGCATTATAATAGATCTGAAATAAAAATGTGCAAGTTATGAAGTTATGTGGATATACTTATATGAAGTTTCTAGGCAAAATTTTTAAGATCAATTATGATATTTTCTTTGTCGCCAAGTTTAGATTTTCTATTCTTGTCGCAATATCATCCGGCGATTTCGCGGTTTCGACCGATTCTTGATAAAATTTGCCTTGTAAAATTTCGTTTGTCTGACTACTTATTTCGTTCCACGAGAAAGCAATGTCTTCTTCTCTACATAATCGACTGCATACAACAAATCTGGCGATAAGCTTATCCTGATACGTACTGGCAATCAGATAAACTTGTCTTCTAGCCTGTAGACGGTCTAACAGTTTCTTTGTCAAACTGTTGTCACCCTAAAAGAAAAATATTATATTATATATCTCTTTCTTGCAAAAATTTTGGTAATAATTCAGATCATTTAAGTTTATTATAAAAATTATAAGTTGATGTAATTAAGAAAGATACATATAACTATCATGATATAGTTGATTAATTAATTAATTCTCAAAAACCGATCAATTTTTAATATAAAAAAATTTTATATTTTTTAATTCATAAATTTTAATAAAAAATCAAGGTTTGAGATAACATACCTTGATACGGAAACAGACGAGACCCATAACTGCTTCGGTAACAATTTCAAATCTATCGTCCGATCTAAGATATTTTTCAAAAAGCTGCCTTAATCTTATGGTATGTCTAATGTGCTTCTGAAGTCCTTCCACTCCATAAATACGCATGACAAACCATAATTTTAATGAACGAAATCGCCGACCCAAAGAAATTTGCCAATTCTATATCAAAAAATTTAAGAATTATAAGAGAAAATAAAATATATTTATATTATGCTGTAAAAAAGTTTATTAAAGAAAGAATATTATATATATGTATAAACAATGTGTGTATATAAAATCTTACTCTATAATCGGGTACGAGTCCTTCCTTATCATGCGCAAGATATATTCTGTTAACACTGAACGCTTCTATAAGTCGTCTCGACTCTTTCACCCTAAAAGCGATAAAAATAGAATGATAAATATAATTTTACTTTGTAGGATATCTCATTAAAATGCCTATTTCACTCAAAATTTTTCATTTTTATTCCAAATGTGCTTTTATCTTCAATTTAAAAATTTGTTCAAATGCTGTTTTTTTCAAGTCTTAATTATGAACATTGAATACATAAAAAAAATCTTTGAGTTAAAGCCTATGTAAATTTAACTGAAGATTAATGATTAATAATTTATTTATTACAGAAAAAGTGTGGTAGAGGATACTATACAAAGATTTAAAAAAAACTTTTTTTGATATGTATAATATATTGAGAATATAATATAATACATACCACATTACCGAAGTATCAAAGTTCACAAGGAGCCATTTGTGTGCATTTATGTTGAAAGAATCAGCATATTGAACGCCGGACATTAAATGACGAAATTCCGGACAAATAAATGCTGCACCTGCAATGTAATTAATGAGAGAGACTTTTGTTAAAATATCTTTTTTATAATCAATACATACAGCACTAATCTTAACTAGTAATTAACTGAATAGAGCAAATTTAATTTTCTTTTGCATTAAAAATATTTTAATAATGATTTGTGAAATAATCGTAATGTATTGCATCGAGTATGAAATAAAAATGTAAAACTAATAAGAAAGGTATAATTTGGATGTAAAAGATTGGAACATTAGCATAAGTACTTACCTGCATAAGCAGCATCAACATGCAACCAGATGTTATGTTCTTTGCATATAGGTCCTATTTCATCCAAATTATCAAAGGCACAAGTGGCTGTAGTTCCTAAAGTAGCGACGACGTAACATGGAATAAGACCTCTTTCCACATCTTCCTGAATCGCTTTCTTCAAAGTTTCACCACGTAAAGAGCACTTCTTGTCCACTGGCAACAGCCTCATTAGCATTGATCCTAAAATGCCAGCCTTTTCAACGGAAGAATTTGACTGATCTAGAATTATACAGAAAAATATGTCCGAATAAAACAAAATTAAATAACTTAAATGATTACTTAATGATACATTAATAAATTGATAAGATTACAATACAAACTAAAAATGTTTAATAAAAAATTGCAAAAATTTTTAAAAATAGATACAATATTTACCAGAAGTATATGCGACCAATTTAGATTTAATGAGATCCTCGTTTACTTCTGGATGAAGAACTTTCATTCGTCGTGTTGCGTATTCTTTCGCAGCCAATAGACATATGAATGAACATTCACTTGCAGATCCCTAAAATTAATAAATTTAATAAAATAATTAATCTTACAAATGTGTATCACACACAAATAGACATATTCAATCAACAATCTCGTAATATTTTTGTTAAAATTATAGTTAACATCAAAGTTAATAAAAAAATATTATACGTCATCCAAAAAAACATCTTGTAACTTTTGTATTAAAATGTTTTCTATATTTAACTATCAAAATATGGCAAATATTTATTAAAAAAAAAATAGATAAATTGTGTTACAGTTATTAAAAATTATTTTTTTTTAAATTAATTTAAGTTTAATCTATTTCAATTTGGATATGTAACTATTTATTAGATTAGAAATACAATTCTTATTTAGAATACAAGAAATCTTCATTTTAGATATCGGAGTAACCCATTTTTTTATAATGTGCATCGTTACAATTTAGAAATATAAATTATTTTATAATAGATTAAAAATATCAATACACTTTAATTTACTTGTTAAAGATTTTTGTTTATCTCGTTATGAATCTATATGCAACATACATGTATGATTCTCTTGTATAATGATTACCTGTATGATTCCTCCGCCTGTCCCATTGCTATGGTTCAAAAATTCATTAGGTAACCCTAGTAATTTACCAAGCCAATTACACATAATAACTTCGAGTTCGGTACAGGCTGGCGATGCTATCCAGCTAAAGCCCATACAACCAATCGCGCTGCTTAAAATCTCGGCCACGAGAGCCGGATAAGAATTAGCCGTGGGATAGTACGCATGAAAATAAGGTGAATTCCAATGTGTTATCTAGACATATTAATAGAAATGATAAAGCTTGTTTTTTTTCCTTTTTTCTCATTACAATGCAAAATATCAGAAGAAATAAATACTGTTATTTTAATAATTATCATTTGAGATGTAGAAAATTGATTAACTACTTATAAAACTAGGAAAAATGTCAAGAGAATTTATTAACTACTTATAAAACTAGGAAAAATGTCAATAGATAAAGAGAAGAAATAAATTTAATGTATTAATTTGAAAAAAGCACGAGAAAGCGAGAAAAGATACTAACAGAGTTTGCCTTAAATTTATTCAGTTTTATTGGCTCTTATTTTTATTCATACAGATATATTAAAAGAAATTAATTTTTTCTAAATATTTGAAATAAAAATTTGAAAGAAAAATATTTTTATTAATATAGTTTTGTATATAATTAAACATATTATTGTACATTTACGCTATAAAACATTCTTACGGTTAATGAAAAATTAAAGACTTACACCTGGCATAATACATTGTTCGACATCTTCAAGCACCGCTTGCCATTTCTCAGATTTTTGTGGTGCTTGTTCAGGTAATAATTTACTGAGATAACCCGGTTCCACATCGGGCAATACGTTTCTGTTTCTCAAAGTCTCATTGTAATCGGCAACAAAGTCGATTGTCGCCTTGGCAAACTCCACAAATTCTGATACGTTCATATTTTATGAATTGCAGAATGCAATATAAAATTCGCTATAACACGAGAGTCGAGAAAATTTTTATTTAAATTTAAATTTTTAACATAAAAACAATTGATTAAAATAATTGAGTTTTAGCTTTTAATTTCTTGCCACTAAAACTTTAAGTAATAATTAATTAATAAATTTACATATAGAATAGAGTCAGAATATGATATTGGCAGATCGTAAATAATTTATACAACACTGTATCGTTACGTTGCGGTTAAAGTAATAAACTAGTAAAATTTTATAATCATTGTCAATATTACTTTATTTTGGCTTAAACTTTGCATTTAATTACAATATATCCAGTTTAAAAATTTTGAGTATACACATAATGCCACATTATATATAAATCTCTCTTTCCAATCTAAATGGTCTCTAGTTTTTAAAACAGAAAATTGTAGGAGATATCACAAATAAAATTATTTTTGTATTTTTTTATAAAAATTAGTATATTATATGTATAAACACACAGATTTTTTGTATAAAGCGTGAAAATCTTTTGATAAAACTTTGCTTCGTTTTTATTTTAAGGCAAATATTTTTGCTTCTAACGTTTGTTGAGAACATTTATTTCACTTTTATTTATAGAATTCTTGATCAAACTTGTACCTATGTGATCTACGCGTAGTATGTCGCACGAAATAATGAAAATTTCACTTTGTATACGAATAACACTTTCATAAACATAGTCATTTAAACAGTAATCTTTCACTCAAATTCGAAATTCGTTTCTCATTGTCGAATTGAACGCGATTAACACTCGAGACTTTAAATATAACTGATAAATTGATGTGATATTTTATATGGAACGGTATTTAATAAATCATTCAATAAATCAGTTTAATAAATAAATCAACAAATCAAATTCAATAAATCGGTGCGATATTTCATACGGACGTGCGAGCTGATCGACGATTCAGAAGACTTTTCGGTCAGATACTGTTCCCTAACGTTAAATACCGCCACTCAGAAAACTTTCACTTGCTTTCTCCATAATCATACGAAATATTGATCCGTGGTGACCGCAAAAGCAATTCTTTTCTAGTGCTCGGAGAATAATCTCTTGCGGCCAACTAATATATTCCTCTAATTGAACGGTTCTTTTGCATAAAAAACAGTAGTATCACGATTTAATTATTGTTAAGTGACTAATTTTTATATAATATATTTAATGATAATATTTGAGTCGTTTTTTAAAATAATATAGTTGTTTATATGATGTCTAGAATTATAGTCAACAATTATTTATTACGCGTAATTGTATGGACTCGTTTTGTCAAAATCTATTGAATAGAAACGATATACGTTTTGTTTTCAAATCTATGATAATCGAAGTAACCGTCGTAGGTATCATCGATTTTTAACAAAAATCAAAGAAGAACGTCAAGTTTAATGCAAAAAGTAAGGACTGCGGGCTCGTCCGGGATTTGAACCCGGGACCTCTCGCACCCGAAGCGAGAATCATACCCCTAGACCAACGAGCCACATGCCAAATTTTTTCTTTTTGATCCTCGACATGGTCGCTATATAATAGTCATTCATAAAAAGCATATAAAAAAATCATGAATCTAGTACAGAGATATCTAACTGCATTAAAAATGATGCATACGACGTTGGCTATTTATTTGTATTTGATTTGCTTTATCGAATATTTTTACACTTGGTCTCTTATTGTGTAACATTTTTGAGTTTTGTTACTTATCTTTTGGCTGTTCGTTATAAACGTTTATGTATCATTCTTTTCAAAGATATAATTTATTTATAATATCTAGTTTTAAATCTAATCTTGTATAAGTCCCCTTCTTTTCTATTATTCAAGATTTTCTGTTCTCCCGTATGCTCATAGCTATTTGATATTTTTATTTTTATTCTTTTGAGAGAAAAACATTATATATATATCAAAATAATAAGATTTTATATTATATTAAACATATAAAATACATTTTTTTTGTATTTAATAATAAATAAGAAATTTTTAAAATAAATTTACAAATAAATCTAAAAAACTTGAATCCTCCTGTAATTGTAATACTTGGAGTCGCGACGCTACCGTGTCGCTTGATATAACTATATAAGTAATATAATCAATAACTCGTTTTTTGAGAATCCAGGATGACCATCGTTATGGAAGTAACAAATTTAACGTGGCTCGTTGGTCTAGGGGTATGATTCTCGCTTAGGGTGCGAGAGGTCCCGGGTTCAAATCCCGGACGAGCCCAAATTTTTGCTAATTCAAACAATTTTTTATAATTGTGACTTTCTATTTTGCGGTTGAAGATACTATAATATTTCACGTTTTATGATTAAAGTTTATAAGTTCTTTTCAGTTTCCGTGATATGTAATAACATTACATTTTGTAAATTTAGCGCTCTTACATTACGCTCAAGCTTAAACTAACAAATATTGCATGTTGTATTTGTATTACTTTCAACTATTTGAAAAAAACTCTTATATTTATATTTTTCTTAATAACATTTTTATTTAAATATTAAAATTGCAATCGATTATATATTGTTATGCCTCGAATGAGAGACAGGATACTCGAGATTGTGCGCCGGATAAGAATCAAGAAATTCGGGCTCCGCCCAAAAAGACTCGTCAATTTGCTGCAGAAATTGTAGTTTACTCGTAGTTTCTCTTCCAATATAATTCGTTAATTTCTAACTTCTGTTGTATAATGTCTTTGATAATCCTTGCTCGGACTATATCTCGCGTTTATCGCAAGTGTTTTCGCGTGCGCGAATTTATTGTCAGATTACGTAACACTTCGCCAGACTGACACATGCTTCATTTATTGTTAAACCGTCCGCAACTCGTGGTATAATTTACAATTTGGTAATTACGTCACCGTTCGCGATGGGTGGTTTTATTATCTCCCCTTTTATTAGTTTTTCCGAGGAAATCGTTCAGCGACATGATATGCTCGTAGAAGAAAGATCAAAGTCAAAATTCTTCGCCTATTACGCCACTTCCGCAATTACTTTGATCGCGTTTTTTAAATCACTTAACGCATGGCTCGCTGCGAACGTGCCTTTCTCGGTCTAGATTTAAATTAATATTTATGTGAAGGCGTATGGCTTAATTAAAAATAATAATATTACAATACTTGTGTATATTTTTAGGCTATAACAAAATAATACAATATTTAAAAGCCAAATATTAATTTGTATTAATATGGCACAAATAGAAAGTAAAAGAGCAATACAAATAGAAAGCAGACGAAGATGTTGTATCTTGTGACACTTTCAAATTTACTGTTTAAGACTCTGCTTGTGACTTGATTTATTTGGAATTATATCTTGGGCTAGCATGATTAAAAATACAGTGAGAAGATGATATTTGTTTAAAAATAAGAAGAATAGATTTCTATCTCCTTTTTCCTTTTCGTATTATTTATGTTTTTCACTTTTAAATTTTTATATGTAGTTTTTATTTGTGTAATAGCATTTTTGAATGAAACTCTCTGTTAGCGATTGAGAGCGATTAAATCTAATTTATCATATATTCGACCGAAAATGAGTTTTGAATCTAATCAACATAAATAAGTATATCTCTAGTAACCTAAGACGGAATTTATGACGTCATTAATCGCTCTCAGAGCGACCAAACTTGCTTCACTCGAAAATGCTATAAGTAATTTATATACATATACAAATTATATACCATAAAAATTTGAATACTTTTACTATTATTAAATACATATCAATAATTAATAAATAGTAAAAAGAGAAATTGTGAAATACAATAAAATGACTTTTTAATATTAAAAAGCGTTGTTCAGATTTAAAACAAGATATGTTTCTGAAAACATTAAGTATATTTTTAGAGAGATAGTTTCCTCCACTGTTTTTTTATCAAAATTTGACCATGACAATCATTATATTCACGGTCGCATTTTTAAAGACTTAAATGTGGCATTACACACACACACACACACACACACACACACGCACACGAGCATTTTCGTTATAAATTTAATTTAATTAGACTTAACAAAACACACAACAACATAATCGCGCTAAGGATGCCGTAATAATCATTATTAAACTTTTTATTAGTATCATAGAAACTATTTAGCTACACATTTAATAAATGTATATTATAAGATAATCTGTGTATATACAGGGTGAGTCATTTTAATCAACGCACGCAAATATCTCGTAAAGTAAGCAAGATGGAAAAAAATGTTTTATACAAAAGTTGTAGGGTTCAGAGGGGGACACATGATGAAAATATGGACTTGACCTTGAGTGACCTTGAGAAAAAGAAAGAGAGAGAGAGAGAGAGAGAGCGAGAGAGAGTGAATGAGGGAAGGTGAGAGGGAGAGAGGGAGAAAGAGAAAGACGAGCATTATACAATTTTATTCGTTTTTCCCTTTTATTTAACATGTTTCTAAAATATTAAAAATTTTATGTCATAAAGATATAAAGATCCAAAATTGATTAAATATGAGAGAAAAAAATTAGACGCAAAAGTAATAAAAGAATTAATTCTGTATTTAAAACACAAAGAATATGACCATAAATACAGTGAACAAAACAATTCTTATAATTAATCGTTTTTTTACACAATCGTTATTTTTATTATTCTATATTGCTATAACTAAATTGTTTTATTGAAAGTTACTGCACGTTGATGATTAAATTGATTTGTTAAATCAGAACGTAAGAGTACATGAAAAAGAAATGTGATGAATATACCGGTATAGTTGTTGATAGAGACATGTGTATTGTAGTACGAGAAAACACTGTTCGATAGAAGTGCCTGCTTATATATCTGATTTAGTTTACGCCCTTCGTTAGATCGTACAAAAATCTAAGCAATGAAAGTTCTTGTTAGATTTTTATACGACTCTTTCTTACTCTCACTGTTGGATAATTAGAAAAGATGTAACAAATCAGATTTTTATTGGATTTATTGGATTTGTCTACGAAAGACAGCGTCTTTCAATATGAGATATGCTCTAGGATTCTCGGTATATCGGCGGCGGCGTTTGTTTTATATAATTTATATTCTAACAAAGTGCGCGATGCACTTGCTAATGGAAAGAGATTGATGTTGCATCTGTCAGACGATTGCAAACTCCCGGTCTTGCGTGGTCAATCGCGTTTTTTTTTCTTTTTTTATAGTTTCTTTTCGTTTTGTGAGACTTAGATTGTATGATACTCCTTGCGGTAAGAAAATATCAGCCTTATGCAGTTTTCCCTTTGTTGTTACTTAATCGGCATTAAAATATGAAATTTGAGTCCAATCAGATGCTGCAATCTTAATTTAATCAAAATAATATAATTATCTTGATTAAATTAAAACTGTTTTTTTATAGATCAAATTCACTATATTTGACAGTGATTAGATCATAATGTTTGTGTAGAATAGTTTTCGACAATGATAGATAATCATGCACTTACACGCACACACAGATTATTGATGTGTGTATGCATATTGATGTGTGTGGCACAATCTCTCTTATATTAATATCAATTCTTAAATATATTATAATATTCATTA